TGTGAGACATTCATATTTCCGGAACCATTATTTCAGGAACATATATAAAGCTCAGCGATTTAAATGCTGGTAACAATATTCGCATCTTAAATTGGTTTATATATAGACATAGAAGAGGCAATTCACGCTGAGAAATTATACTTGTATGTTCCATATTGTGAAAGTTTAGTGCTTTAAAATATTGTTGATTGCACCTACATTGACCAACAACAACTATCAATGATATCTTTCTCACGTTAACCGGGGAACGCAATCTAATTTTGTTGGTACAAACACACCCAATTTGACTATAAACCCATAACTGACACATCGCTTACCGCGATGGTTTTGTTTTCTTGTTCCCGCCATCTTGAAAGTGGTGGAACACAAATTAATACACACCAACACATAAGCGATAAGAATGTGTGTCGCTTCATAAATTCGACATTGTAAGCGTACTCTATATTTTAGCTGTTTTAAATCAGTTTTAAAAACATAACTACAATTATTTACTGGGTTCTGGAGGAGGGGGACAGGCACCGACCAATCGTATGGTGAGGCTGATTGCACACATTCACCAATAAGATCCATATTTTTCGGCGCATAGATTAAAAATGAAACTTTGATAATCTGTGGAAGCTGAAATGTAAAATTGTCATAAAGATTGAATAATTCATAGGAACAATAAACTCTAAATAAAAAAAGTTAATATTTTCCAAGTTCAATATTTTTCAATTAAAAATAGTAGTATTAAAGTCCTTTTTAAACAGTTAATTCTGGAGCAGTCACTTTCAGTTATCTACATGTAGAGATCTGAAGCAAAACTATATGAAAATTTTTGTTATTCTTGTGAGGCTGCAATATATTGCTCAGCTAGTCAAAAAGTTCTTATCTTTTTACAGAACTTGAAGGTTCACAAGAGCCTGCCACTGATGCCTATCCTGATTCAGAACAAGTAAGTATCATACATTATTGTAATTTGCATGTGTTCAGACTTTTTTTTTCTGTATAATATAAACTTTGCAATTGCCCCATCTGTACATGAAACAGCCACACCAAGTTCTTGAGCCCATCCAATGTATTCAATGCACACCTGGGTAAAAGCTGCCAGGGTGCAAGTTGATCACTCACCTCCATCTAGAGTCAGGTTAATAAGTGCAAACCTTTATGGTATGGGTTTAATTAAGCACAAAGGCCAATTATTTTCCAATTGTAACAAACGTCAGACATACAAACAGAAAATCAACTTTCTTCCAGTTCAACCACATTAAACTGTAAAACTGCCTTACCTCAATTTATTAAATTCTCACCTCTATTTCCTTCAGTGTTATACTTGAAGGTATGAATACATGGTACCACCAGTACTACAAAAATAAAATAAATTGTATTTATAGATTTAAGAGTCACAGGCTGTCTGAAAAATATCTGCATTCATCCATGAATGAGTTTCTCTCAGACAAGTTCTAACCTCTCGGTATGTCATTAATGACATGTACCAGCCTAATCACTAATTGGTATAGGAATTAAATAAAAAAACTGCAGTAAGGCAAGAAGACATTCAACTGTTTCCAATACAGACTTTAATTATTAATACATAAGCAACACTGGGGTGTGTAGTCCATAATGATTGCAGCCTATAAACAACAATTTTTTTTTCAAATTCTCACAAGCTGAGACATACCATTGACATTCACACAGGAAGGTAAGCACTCTGTAGACAAGAGAGAAAAGCATAATAACATTTACAATATGTCAGTCGGAGTGTTTTGTACTATCTCGAGGATTTTTCTTTCTTTTCACTGTATATATTATCATTGGTAAGACTACATTCTGAGACTCAACCCTCTTATAATCTGCAATCTGCTTTTCATTCAGCAATGCTGAGTAAATAAGAGAGACTCATTAGTTTTGGTATAAAGCAGATATACACTGTATTGTGTTGCATTGCATGCAGGGGACCATTTCCTTTCCCTTCGGACAAAGTTGATGACATTTAGGGCAAGGACATACATTGGCACCATGATGGCAGGATTGTACATTTTCATTTTGGCTGACATTTTCAGTTTTAGTTTCAACATGATTCACATATACTGCCTCTATAAAAATCAACCATCCAAATGTCCACTTTCTCTCCAGTCCAATGTGTGATGCATACATCATTCATTAAATAGCTTAAAAAGAGATCTTGAGCTCTATAAATGGTGGCTTCTTTCTAACATTTACTAAAAAATAATACTTTTAACCTGGAAAGGAAAAATTATGCACATATTCAATATAATGCACCAATAAAAGCAATGCTACATGAACATGCATTTGCCCTCCAGAAAAAAAATAAGTTACATATTCTCTTTAAAGGTCTAAAAAATGTTCCATGAGTATTTTTATCCTCTTCTCTGTATAGATGAGACATGAGGTAACCTGAATACATTATCTTGGCTTAAAAAACACTATCCGCATTTACAACTTCTGTTCAATGACAAAAAATATAACCATAGTAGGCCTACTGTACTATAAAAATGGCACAATGTAACTTAAAAAATAACTTACAAAACTAATTAGGTAAACTTTCACAACCGACATTCCAAAATGAAATCACTTCAATATTATGATGGAGTGTCCTGTAAAGACTTCTAGGGTAACTTTATCATCCCCTTATTATTCATTTAAAATTGTTTATATTACCATAATACACTATAAATTTATTAAAGTCCTTCTCTTCTTCAATGGAAAAACACACTTCATTAAAGAGTGGCCACTGGCCAACTAGTCTCATGCTTGCTCATGTAATCCAAGATGATCAGGTATGCTTGTCCAACATTCTGTTGACAAACATCACCATATACCTTGTCCTTAAGTTTCTGCAATCAGTGCCTAATGCATGAGACTGACTTTCAGAATTTAAATGCACTCATTGTTTAAACCCTTAAACATTTTGGAAAACAATGCACCTGCCATCTTCAGGGAAAAATAATGGAAAGGAGAACCTGATGTTGCATTAAAAACATAACAATTGCAGCCTAAAAGTATAAAAATGAAACCATATGCTGGTCCTCCCTCATGTAATAGACTCTTTCAACCTCCCCATGATACTTGAGTAAAAGTCACCCTTTTTCCTAGGCCACTGCTCATGATAGTTACACAAAAGCTATGAAAATTCAAACATGGAATATTCATGAGAATTTAGCTATGCATATCCTGAGAAGGAAGTACCAAATAAAACATTTCATGGATTTCTTAACAATGCTTTTTCAGTAGCTCAGACTATATAGTGTTGAATGTGGAAGGAAGCTATTGTGGCCTATTTTAAGGTACTATCTTGGCATTTGCTTGCAAGAATTCAATATTACCTTGGTTTTGTTGTTCTGTGCATGAAACACTTATATACAGACCTCCGGCTATATGGGAAAGGAGAAAGTGACTAGTTAATGTGGTACCTTGGATCCTGCAGTTTGGAATGAAGAGAGAACAAAACAGATGAACCCAGATCTCGCTCAACCTGTATCTATCTACTCAATTAATGGTCTGGTATTTATTTCAGTGGCTTCTCTGATGATGTAGGGATTTTATTTGTGGATAAATGCTTTGACTTCTGTTGTATCAAACAGAATACTCTATTTAGTTGCTACAAAAATGTTACTATTGCCAATTGTTGGTGCACAGTCCAGTGTCCCTAATGTGTTCAAAAATCATTGTGGAGACCTCCTATTCTATTGCATGTGTTGAGAGTTGTTGGTCCTTTACCAACCCAAGATGGGACATCATACAGACTAAACTTAGTACTTAGTTTGACAAAACATGTCATAGCAAACATCATCCCAGTACCATCAACAAAGCCAATAAATTAATCAAGCACCCAGATTTCATTAACATGGAAGAGATATAGACTAACTAAAATCAGGGGTCATCTTTAATCTTCATTTAAGACTCCAGAATCCAGCCCATTGAAACATTCCTGTTTTTTCCTATATAAGACATTAACCCTGAAGACAGTAAATGCAACATTTGCCAAAATGCTAGAAGGACCTCAGCAATCAACACAACCCAAATCCAATCTTATACATCTCTATCGTAGTTCATCTTCAAAAACTTGAACTATTATGAGAATAGCTCTCATCTGTCCAAATCCACAAGACACTAACAGAAAGCTATATGACTTTCTTGTCTTTGATTATTTTTATATTACAATACCTAACCATGCATCATCTTTGAATGTTCAAGTCTCTTACTACAGCTAGCTACAATGTGGCTCAGTGCAACTATTTAGAACGCATCCTTGGCTGCAGATACGAACGCCAGAAGATCCGAGTTAAAGAGGCTGGGAACGTTGGCATAGTTCCCATTGGCCGCCATTCAGGAGAGCAATGGTGGAGGTGGTGGTTGCTCAGCAGAGACGGTTGCCACTTGATGTTGTGGAGTAGGGGGATGTTGGGGTTGTGGGGCATGTTGACTCAGCTCTGCCTTGACTCTACGAGCAATGTGACTGCGTGTATGCTTACGCAGGTGGTCCTTGCGATAGAATCCCTTCCCACACTCTGTGCACACATGACGTTTCTCTCCAGAGTGAATCACAAAATGCAGGGTCAGCTGTTCCTTTCGTTTAAATGCCTTGAGGCAAACTGTGCAGACATAAGGTCGTTCTGGGTTGTGGCTCTGCTTATGGCGTGTTAAGTGATCCTTTCGTTTGAGACCTGCTCCACATATGTCACATACAAAGCGGCGTTCCAAAGTGTGTCCTAACAGATGCTGTTCTAACAATTCTTTTTCTGGGTATGCCATGTGACATTCAGGACAACAATATAATGTTGAGCCATCTAAAGCAGTTGTGAGGCGAATCTCACCTGGTTTTGGCCGGGGCTTCTTTTCTTTACTTGCCTTCTTCTTTTTCTTCTTCTTAGCACCACCAGGCACTCCAGGAGCACCCCCCACAACACCAGGTGTTGTTGTGCTGGCAACCCCAATGGCAGAAACACCTCCAGCATTGGCTGCCATATCAGACTCCTTCTTTATGTTCTCAGCTGAGTACTTGAGAAAGTGGTGGAGGCTAATAGGAAGAGTGGAGGCTGGCAGCTGGGACAGGTAGTCAGCTACAGTAGATCCTGGTGTAGCCAGACTATGCCAGGTGGAAGGCATGGTAGCTGTGGTCTGGGTAGCATGATGGTGTTGGTGGTGGTGATGGTGATGAAGTGCCATGGAGCCACTGTACTCAGCTTCATTGGATCCAGGTCTTCCTACATCATCCTTTTCACCACCAGCTTCCTCTCGTTTCATGTCTTTTTCTTTCTCAGCAGCTGCTGCTGCTGCTGCAGCAGCGACAGCAGCATTCTCCCGCATCATGGCTGCACATAAGTCCTGTGGTTGTATTTCGCCGACATGATATGCTCCACGCTTGTTGCCTTGCTGCTGGCCGTCCTGTATGGATGGTGATGAGGTAGGTCGGCTTTGCTGTTGCTGCTGTTGAACTGCTCCTGCTTGGCTATATGGAATGCCAACATTCCCACTATAGTGATGTGTTCCTGTCAAGTTGGTTCCTGGATGGTATTTGGAAGAATTTGGATTCATCATATTAACCTGAGGCTGGCCTCCACCACCTGGAGGATTGTTCCCACCATCTCCTCTGTTATACTTGCCCATATTCACTGGCATCCCAATAGGGGGATGATGCTGGTTAAAATGAGCTGGTCCAGGACTAGTGTGATAACGGGCTCCTGCCCCTCCTCCATCACCAACACTCTGTGGTGGCAAGCCTCCTCCAGTCCCATCATGTGTGAATTTTGCAGCAAACTGGTGAATGGTGGGTATGGACGCTGGGAAGTGTCCTCCAAATGGAGAGAAATTCATAACTGCAATTCACGGCGTTGTGGTCTAAGATGTCTTGTAATATTTCTTGGAGGAGCCTGGAAAATAATCCCCACCACTAAGCCTGAAACAAACATTGCACATCTCATCATTATCCACCTATAGTTAAATTTTTTGGGTGTCACAAAGTTAATAAATAAATTACACAGAAGGTACACACACTTAATTATCATTTGATATTTTCTGTCTCACTGCATTATTCCAACATGGTTTTGGCGGCTCTTATCCATTTCAAATATTGATGTGATGCGCATTATTCGTATAACGTTAGAGATCGTTTCTTCCTGCTTTCATTTGCACGCCACAGAAGTACTGCTGTTCGATAATGCAGCACATTTCCTGTAATACATTTTTCGACAGGCGTCCATGGCCCGCGCATTAGGGGTACAAGATGGGTTCACAATGGACCTCTTTCGAAATATAGTGCCGAAATTTAGCGATGACTCCCTCTAGTAGAGCCGGCATGTAATCACTAGTAACATATTTTAAAACAAGTAAAATATATAGGCTGGTTAAAAGAAACACTGGTACTTACTGCTTCAAGTTTTGTTGCTCTCATTACATTTTATTTCCCATAAATAAGCGTCTTTGACAGAAAATATAAACACCTGCTGTGCAAAACGATGCTAGCTTGTTTCCTAAGCTTCCATGATTTCCTGACCTCTATACAGAGTTGACCCAACTACACCATCAACGGACCCCAAGTAAGCGGCAAAATTAAAGTAAAAGTGCTGATGTTTCAAAGCAAGTAAGAACTGGTAGATTGCATAGTCATTATCAGAAATACATTGGTTTATTATTATAACTTTTATCATTTCTTATATACCATGCACCGTAATATCTATGATGATAATATCAGTACCTTAATGCATTATGATCCCAGTATTAGGTTAAAATTTACTTGTGGTTCTTGTTGCCACAAAAAAGAAAAGAAAAACATTACATTTATATATACTGTTTCAACCATAAAAGTGTAAGCTCTATGCCTTTGCAACTATTATTTGAAGGACTGAAGTGTATATATGTTATCAATATTGTCCAAAAAATCTACGGTAAACTTTCTCTGATCATGCACTGGTGGTACATCTCACAGTATGACTATTTCTGTTTAGTTTTAATTCTCAATATTTTACCATGCAGGTGAGCCCATTGTTAATGCATCATCTCATTTGGTCACAAACTTCAATTTCACCATGGACATTGATGTCTGCTTGTCATGTCCATCAATCCATTGCTTTGGAGATTCTACCATGGCCAGTCATCATGCTGTGGATTGACTTTGGAACTAACTCTACAAGGCTGCAATGTGTCAATTTCAAGAAACTGGTACTGTAAGTACTGATGAACAAATATTTAAATTACACTTAATTGTTTAATTTTAACAAAATATTTATACACACAGATCCACATACTGCATTTTGAGTTATGTTTTAAGCAACTTTCAGTATGGGTACTGCAAGCATTGGTTAAAAGTAAAGTAATCTGTCCCACTATACATGTAGGTGCTTGGGGGGCAGAAGAGGTATAGCTCCTACTCATTCATAACCTTGGCACTAGGTAGGGGTGAGTGGTTAGTGTCACGCCCCAGCCACGCTTTGCCCCCAGTAAAGGACCTCGGTAAACATTGAATAGGAGGTTAAAGGAAAAATCCTCTGCCCCTGTCGGGGATCGAACCCCGGTCGTCCAGTCTATAGCCAGTCACTATACTGACTGAGCTACCCCGGTTCACAGTGGCTACTGGTATCAATCAGTGGTCTCGCTGGAATCCAAGATCACAGTGTTTTATGTGCAGGTATTTAAACAGGAATGGACACTAAGAATTTTTATGATTCAAAGAGTTACTTTTTAAAGTTATAAACCATTATAATTGCTATATTATTGTTAACTTTTATCATCAACCTTTCATCACTGCTTATGAGCAGTGCAGCTGAATGTGCATCACACTAGCACACCATTAATCCATTTATGTTGGAGGTAAAGTCTGACTTGTAGTGCTATAGTACAAGGGATTTTAAATCTATAAATGATTTACAATGTACAACAGTGCTCTTTAAACTTGCCAAAAGGAAATCCAGGGAAAATGTGCTCTTCACTTCGTGCCTGTAAACAATTCTAAAGTGTGTGTTAGTAACAGTTCTTGATTGGAGACTTTCCAAACCAGTCACTGATAGCTACCTAATCTTTGTTCTTGAGCTCATTAAAATTTGTCCACTGTTTTGGTGAACATTACGGTTCACCAGATCACTCTGAAGAAACACTGGACACACTTGGAAATGGAACTTGATGTTCAGAGATGTAAAAATACAAACAATTCTGTAAAAAAACGAATATCCATTTCTTCATCATGTTGTGGTTGTTTTAAATGTATAATAGGAAAATATTTCATCATACATTTTATTAAGAATTGAAATTATTAGGACAACATATTTTGATCACAAGTGATCAAAACATGTTATCCTAATAATTTGTCATTGTCAATAAAATAGATATATTATGCTGTATGTGTGATAAAAAATTAAGTTAGTGTTGTGCCAACAACAAAGCATATTTGGGTTCATGGAGGTAAAGTTTTGCACTACTAAGATCTTTGCACTATACACTAGCACTTAGTAACAAATGGCCAACCTCATGGTCTGACAACAGTCTTTTAATATCCAAGTAAAAGTGTCTTCAGTACCTACTTCATATCAGCAGAACTACATCAGACATTAAATGATAGATACTTATGGCTCCTACTTTATGTGTGAAAAACTTGGGAAAATATCAAGTAGACCACTGCATCCTAAAACATACTACATTCAGAATTCATCAACTTACCATGTCATAAAAGCATGCTGTTGAATCTGTTAGTACATACTTAACACTGGACAAAAATTGGTAGTGGGATTGTTTGTGAAACTTGAAATAGGTGTTATATATATGCTAAAAGTGGGACATTTTGGGTTTGTTAGAAGAGAATGGATACATTATCCTCACTTTTGAGCATTATGTAAAGAAAACATTACACATATTAATGCATGTGTAACATTTTAACCTGTATCAGTCATGTGTCACAACTCACATATGGTCCAGTTGGACATGAACACAGTTCAGGTAACCACACAGCACCTTATACATTATGAAATGGCTTGTGAACAGAGTACTATCTTCTTCATGAAAAAACATTGATACTGACTCATTTTGAAATCCTTTGTCTGAACATGTACTTACTAACCACTTACTCACCTGACTGTTGTGATCCTTGTCTTTGTGGCATGCTTTGTAAATAACTTGATAAAATATTCCGGATTATTAGACTGTTTTGTCGCTACTATTGATACTTGATATTAACTGCACTAGATTTATGAGAAAGGTGTATAGAATCTAGTTGGAAGACCTAGACATAGATGGATGGATAATATTAAATGTATTTTCACGAAACTGGGTGAGTGAGTATCTTAGTGTTGGTTAGGAAGCAGGGTATCTCTTGCTTGGTTAAATGATTATCAGATTCTCAAGAAGTACTATGCTTCATGCAGGCAGTTAGCTTTTAATCCTTGTTAAACATGACCAATGGTCTGCATGTTTTCATAGTTGCTCACATTTTGAAGAATTGTTTCTAGTATGCACTTTCACATAACATATAAAATAAAAATTAAAAAATCTGTGCATTAGATATTTCAACACAAGTAGAACATTCTGTAATTAAACTTACATAATATAAAGTAGTCACTATTCAACATATCTTTCATCAAGAATGGTAGTCATTGGATACTTTTAGGGGGGAAAATGGGAAGGTGGCTTGAAATAAGAATTTTCATCATGTTCATCATTTATTCCCCTTAAGTGGAGCACTTAATAATAACTTAAATAGTTGAGTGAGTCTCTGTGTGGTGTGTCACAAGGTACTGGCATATCTGCCTGGTTAACCTACCCCTCCTACCCACGAGCTAACTATTGTTCATTTCAAGTGATACACATAGATAATTGAAATGAGAGTCTTTCCTCTCAGGACCAATACCATGTGTCTAATAATTCATTAAACAAAGAAGGATGTTAGAATTTTTTAAATGTTTTTTTTCTTTTTTTTATAAATAAGTTAGACACACACATGTAGAAAGTTTGGTTAGTTTTATACAGAGAATATGGTAAAAAAAATCACCAAGCTGAAATAGCCCTTTGATGGCATACAGCTCTGTCAACACCAGTTTTGTAAAATCTTTCCTTATTTGTAAAATGTCTAGTCCTTTTACTTTAAAGTCATGATGTGCAATGTTCCAACATAACCTCTTTTCTCCATACAACCAACCAATGCTGCACATATCATTATCACTTCTTTGTAACAACCATTATAATTCACATTTCAACACCAACCATTAGAAATGACATACTCAAAAAAAAAACTCTGAATCTAAGAGTCAATGTATATGTATATATATATATATGCATAATATATAAATATTTGTAAGGCCGAAGCTCAGGCATCAACTGGCCAGAAATAAATTTCATTGAAGTCTTGTGTATGATGACAATGTTGCCTTCAGTTAGTGTAGCATATTGACAACAATCACTCCATTCTGAGCACTAACATCAACTATACCCAAAACAAGGTCTGCTCCATTGTATTTTATGCGTATACAATTACATACCCACAACAGTTTTACCAGTATCCAAGCAGTTTTATAATCATCTACATAAAGGCACAAAAAATTAACAAATGATAACACATTTTCCTGTCCATTGAAATTTATGAACATCACTAAGAAATGTAACTATTCTGGAATGTCAAGTAATCACCAATAATGGCACTGTGATAAATCCAACATAAAAGTCCAGTGACAAATACACTTAACATAATACTTCATAACAGGCTGAGCACAAAGTAGTTCTACAACTTTCAAGGCATACAGAAATTGAATATGATGGTATAACAAATTACATGGCTTAAAATACATTGAGGCACACCAAATTCTAGTGACTACATCATTTCAATGTGGATGTCAGCTGTGATATAAGACATCCCAACAATAATCAGTCTCTTCCTATATGCTAGGTAGCATGTCAGGCATGGCATCTGCTGTGGCTTCAATATTTTCCTCTTTAACCCTTTAATATTTGTAAGGCCGAAGCTCAGGCATCAACTGGCCAGAAATAAATTTCATTGAAGTCTTGTGTATGATGACAATGTTGCCTTCAGTTAGTGTAGCATATTGACAACAATCACTCCATTCTGAGCACTAACATCAACTATACCCAAAACAAGGTCTGCTCCATTGTATTTTATGCGTATACAATTACATACCCACAACAGTTTTACCAGTATCCAAGCAGTTTTATAATCATCTACATAAAGGCACAAAAAATTAACAAATGATAACACATTTTCCTGTCCATTGAAATTTATGAACATCACTAAGAAATGTAACTATTCTGGAATGTCAAGTAATCACCAATAATGGCACTGTGATAAATCCAACATAAAAGTCCAGTGACAAATACACTTAACATAATACTTCATAACAGGCTGAGCACAAAGTAGTTCTACAACTTTCAAGGCATACAGAAATTGAATATGATGGTATAACAAATTACATGGCTTAAAATACATTGAGGCACACCAAATTCTAGTGACTACATCATTTCAATGTGGATGTCAGCTGTGATATAAGACATCCCAACAATAATCAGTCTCTTCCTATATGCTAGGTAGCATGTCAGGCATGGCATCTGCTGTGGCTTCAATATTTTCCTCTTTAACCCTTTAAAGCCCAGTGATAATTGTCTGTACCACCTGCTTTAACAATCAGAAACTCTTCATTTTATATCAGTGGGTTTCATCATATGATTCTGTAAACAGTGATTATTTCCTTGAAGAGTATTAACCAGTTGATCTTTGTCAACAGTAGAGTGCCTTCTTTCATTCACATTATTAGGTAACAGTGGCTGGAACACTTTGCAAATCCCATAAAAAGGTCCACTAGCATTAGGTCTGGTGACCAAGGATGCCATGCAATTGGTTCATCTCAACCAATCCTACCTGGGAAACGATCATTTAGAAGTTTTTGAATATCTGCAACAAAATGTGGAAGTGTACCAATCTGATAGACATTTGAGTAGCACAGCTGACTTAATGATTTTCTTTATCTGGCTAATATAACACTGTCTCAGCAGAATGACTATGCTAGGCATACACCAATGATCTACTAGAAGGTTCTTTGGCATAATGCATACAAAATCTTCTCTAAACTTGTATGACAGACTTTGTTTCATGGAACTAGAAAACATATTCCACTTGCAGTGCCAGTAAATATTGCCATTCTGCTTTGTAGGATCAAAGCACTAGTGATGGTGGTATGTGTTATTACAACTGACAAAAGACAAACTTGAACATAACAGTCATCTAATAAATTCACTTTTGTCTTCTTACATGTGATGAAAATTTTGTTACATGTATTGAAAATTGTAAAGCTACTTTGTACTTACTCTGTCTGTGTGAAAAGACCTCTCCACAGAATTATATAGATAACTTCTTGGTAAATGTGACTTGTCTGGTATGTAATTCATAACTGTTCCCTCTGAACCGACAGAGTGCAGACATTAGAAAAAAATAAATGAACAGATCCTCTGTTATTGACATTTTTAATTTGAAAGCTCAAGACTCATGTTGCTGTGATGCTGTGTTAACATTTGTACACCTCTAAAGATAGAAATATCGGCACATTGTACAAGCATGATTCTTTCATAAACCACAGTACTGTGAAGCCAATACCTCAGTCATTCTGGCTGACAGTTGTATCCCAACCTCATTTTTCTTAAGTTGTGACAGTAGGTGATTTAGGTCTTACAATCACCTAGAACACATCTCCAAAACAATTCTCATCAAATTAATACTTTGCATAAGTTCCGTATTTTCAACTGTAATGCTTTGGTTTCTTCACCTCTTGCAATTGCACCACTAAAGTATAAATAATCAATCCTGCTTCAAGCAAACATGTGACACAAGTGTTTGATTCTGGCCAGATGGCACCACTGGTCCAATATGTTCAGTGGTGATGCTGAAGCATCATGGCTCCTGTCTCAGCAGCAGTTGGCAGTACCACTGTGGTCACCATGGTGGCGGCGGCAGCAGCAGCAGCTGCTGCTGCAGCTTGTTGTTGATGCTGCTGCTGATTGCTCATTTCTTCCTTGACGCGCTTGGCAATATGGCTGCGGGCATGTTTTCGCAAGTGGTCCCTGCGGTAAAAGCCCTTCCCACATTCTGTACACACCTCCGTTTTTTCACCCGAGTGAATCACAAAGTGTAGGTTCAAATGCTCTTTACGTTTGAAACCCTTATGACATACTGAGCAGATGTATGGCCTGTCAGGGTTGTGACCCAGCTTATGCCTTTCAAGGTGCTCCTTGCGTTTCAGGCCTGCCCCACAGATATCACAGATGAATCTCCGCTCAATCTTGTGCCCCACCAGATGTTGCTCCAACAATTCCTTTTCAGGATATGCCATATGACACTCTGGACAACAGAACAGTGTAGTACCATCCAATGCTGTTGCAATGTGGACTTGCCCTGGTCTTGGACGTCGTGGCTTGGGAGGCTTTTTCTTGTACTTTTTCTTCTTTTTAGGTTTTGCTCCAGCAGTTCCTACCCCCTGAGCTGCAGCTAATGTTCCATCTGGACTGGTAGCAGAACTGGCATCCACAAGTTCTGGATTAGAGAGTGGAGACGATTCTATTGCAGCCTCACGCTTGATTGTTTCAGCTGAGAATTTTAAGAAGTGATGAAGGCTAAGGGGCAGGGTGGATGCAGGTATGCGTGAAAGGTAGTCAGCCACAGTTGAGCCTGGGGCTGCTATACTCTGCCATGTAGGAGGCATTGTGGCCACCGTTCCTGCTGGTGCATGTTGTGAACTATTATAATCCTCATTCCCCTGAGCATCCTTATCACCTTCAGTTTTCACAATGGCCACCTGCAAAGTGTTGTCCTTTGTTCCTGTCCCATCTTGCTGAGGTGACTTGGCAGCTGCCAGTTCCACAGCTGTCACAGCATCTCGGAGGATAAGATCCTGTGGTTGCAATGCAACAACTGTAACAGGAAATGTTTGATGATGTTGATCATGTTTGTCTCCTGCAGTTACTGTGATAGTTTGCTGCTGCGCCTGGTGAAGTGAGACTTGCGCCTGATGATTCTGTGTATTGCTGTTATTATTGTTACTGTTGCTGCTATTATTATTTGAAATATCCTGAGACTGCGGTGAGGTGTTGGAGGCTTGGGACACATGTATCTGTGGATGCTGAACCTGCAACTGCACTGTTTCTGTGCCAGCCTGCTGTTGTCCACTGTAAGCCACTGTCAAAACACCCGGGGGAAAGTGATGCAGTGACAGCGGGGAAATGTGATACTTTGGAGCACCATTGTTTGCAGTACCATTGTTAGATATTGTGGTTGCATTGGGGTTCACAACCTGAATCTGCACGGTCTGCTGTGGCTGACCTGGTTCACCAGGTTTGCCTCCTATACTGATGGGCAATGTAATGAGTGCCTGTTGTACCTGAGGATGCTGATTGTTGCCTGTACCTTGGGCTGTTGCCATTGTGAAACCATTGGGGTCAACCTGGCGAATGTACTGTACTGCTCCTTCCCCTCCACCAATAACACTCAACATTTGTCCCCCAGCATTGTGGGCAAACTTCGCTGTACCAAACTGATGAATGGTGGCTGTGGGTATGGAGCCAGGAGGAAAGTGCCCTCCAAATGTGGTGAAATTCATGGTCTGTGAGGGGGTTTTCACTGCTATTGTCAATCAGGAACCCCTGAAATGTTCATAAAAATTTAATACGGTTAATGAATTTTAGATGACATGTCTATTTTGACAACAGTGACCTCATTTATTCTTATTTCCTGACAGGTGTTGACAGTGCTGTTCCATTAATGCTATGTACATTCCATGGTTAAACAAACATGCTAGTAAAATCTTAATTACGTTACGTAACACAACTGAATAACAATGATCAAATACATCAAATTGCTTCAACTTCCGTACTAGAAGCTGAACAGTATCCTGGATCATGGAGACCTACTTACCTCAAATTAAGTGGCACTCTCTCATTTCATTGTTGTATGCTCCAATAACGTCATCTATACAGAAAGAAAATACAAATTATCACCCTTCTTCATACATTCGGCCCCATACTTCCTAGAATATACGATACCTAAATAACGGATACAACTTTTTACTCATTATGGCAATTTAATCCGTTGTCTCCAAAAATAAGGTCACAAGATGGCATTATAATCCACCACTAAATAAGACTATAAATGTTGGTTAACACATTAAATATATTCTCATACCTTTCTAAACTCTTCATTGTAGCTGTGGAATACAATATTTCGTCATAAATCCTTGCTTTGCAATAGAAACTCTACGCAGCTTATAAAAGACAACAAACACGAAAACGAAAACACCTGCTGTGCACGACGATATTGCGTTGTTTTGATATCGACCTTCCGTAGTATCGAATGTTCGATAGGTTCTCGAATTGAACTAAACCGCTGTATTCAAGACGTGGAATTTCAAAAAATTATTGATGTACACGGGGAAACTCATTTATATGAGAGTAGGAATTATTTTATTAAGAATAGTTTATTATTGTAAGCGAGAAGAATTACGGGGATGTATCTCAAAGGAACCCATTATATTCGCTGAATAGAATAACATTTTATTTTACGTTCTGTAGATTCTTCATAGGCCTAAACCAAGGATGTAAAACATTTCATAGCACAAATACAATATTTATTTCTAATACAAATATAAGTTACGTAGTTATGACAGTAATGTACAGTCGACTACAGTATTTCCGTAAAAAATAATTACACAAGAAAGCATAACCACTATTGCTTACGTATATTTATAATAGCTGAGAATTTTTGGTTGAGGTAAATCCCTCTATGGAGTAGCGGTGAGGTACAACATACTATTTCAGTGCTGGTTTAAACTTCTTTATATTGTGATTCAGACTTTTTTATAATGGGGGAGATTATTGAATAGCTAAATTCCAGTATGATAAACTCCTTTTTGATATTTATTGAGGTTAATGTTTGGCATGTGAAGCTTATATTTGTGTTTTGTACTTATATTGTGAATATTTGAGTTTATTTGAACATTTTATATGTTGTCCACTGTAAGTGATAATAATGAGAGCAAGAATTCACTGACTTATGGAAGAATATTAAAGTTCTTAAATAATTCCCTATATCTTATGTTCTGATGGTATACCACAACCTTTTTATTTTTATTGTATTTTAAATTTAAATCTGGCTAATTTTGACATCTTTCTAGGTATTTAGTGATAGATTGGGTCATAACCTAAAATAGGCCTAGATCTTCCAATGACTATGGGTATCTTACCACTGTCCACTTTGTACCTATTATTGTTGGCAATAAGTTGCACAAGCTTCTCCTTGCCCCTTGAATTCAGGTGCAATCCATATCTGGTGTGTTCTTAGCCAAAGATGATAAATCAGTTGATGTAATGTGTGATCTGTCTGCACTCCAAAGTGCACTCTGTTGTCTAGTATTCACACTCTTGAGCCACTTACTCATGAAGATATGTAAACTAATTACGTTAGTAAGTTTACCTGAAGTACAGAATGTCTTAATTCTCAGACTGATATTTCCAATATAGTGTCTGCAGCAGTAGATGGTGCACTGGAAGAGATGCATATTTATTCAATATCAGGCTATGTTTGCCAATCACATGAATTTGTATCATCTCTAGGTAGAAACAGAGGAGCATATGTAATTTGAAATTATATCTCAGCTGTAAATTATTTAGACTTATTTGTGATAAATAACTGATTATTTCTCAGTATGATTGCAAATTATGAGCCATTTGCCACTATGAAAAGATAGCATTATGTCAGACTAGTTATTCTTCAGCAGTCTAACCTGTTAGAGTTGCTTGTATCAAGAGGGAAAAAATGAAGAATAAAACCTCAAATTTACAAGTGTTAAACCTCTTAAGTTCTAAAAAGTACTTATATTTAATGCCTGTTGCTTAAAAGGCAGTGAAATTGGACATTCCTTTCTTCCAAAAGTACATCGGTATAAATTAAAATTATGCAGCAAATAGACCTTATGTTAAGATGACTACCCAAAGTTTCCTTATATTTTGTTACTATTTCATTGTTCTCTTTCATTTCTTCCATATGCTACCATACTTATATGCCTGCTGGTGACAATTTTTGCAGCTATTGTATACACTGTCCCTTCTGATTTTCTGCCAGTCTGTCAATGCCCAGGACAGATATTTCATTTTCTATTCCATTCACATACGTTCTGGTTTATAAATATAACAACTGGTAGGCTCTGAAGAAGCATCTTTCCTAAATATTATATTTAAATGTGCCTATCATTATCATATCTTCCCTTAGGACTCTTTTTTAAGTATGAATGATTAGAAACCACCACATAACAGAGATGAAAACATGTTAGAAGCATCGCCAATAGGAAATTATTTTATTAACGCTGAAAATTCAATGCAAGTTCAGTGTCTGTCTGGCTCCAAATAATTATTATAATTTATGCAGCTCACATATCACCACTATGAAACATGATATGCCAACAGGAAGCAGTATAAGAACAGACAGAATGAGAGATTCAGATATTATTCAAAGTCAGTTTATAGTAATGTAATTTGGATGAATACATTTCAGTTATCTTCAGTTGTATATTTTTATTGACTAATTTGTGTCATTAATACAATTTTTAATCTTATTCTTGCTACACATGTAACATTAAAATAAATAACAAACATGCTTTCTAGAATATAATAAATATCACCCCATGTATTAATCATCTCATGAAATGCCATGTAATTTAAAAAATGTACAGCAAAGTATTTAATTAAAGCAATCAGTTCAATTGGTAATAAGATCCTTTGTGCATGGGCATTAAAATATTTCAGCTTGGCATGATATAACAATAATGGAAAAGTGCATTCTGGAGCGCGCACACACACACACAGAAAAGAGACTGGAACTGTTTGTGATTAAATTTACAAACTTGCTAAATTATAGTTTTTCTATTCAATTCATGTTTAGATTATTAATTTTAGATAAAATAACAATGAAACAAAGATTTTATTATCTTAATTAAACAAATAACTTTCAATTGAAGCTTTATAAATTCTGTTTTGTGAAGATCATATTGAGGTAATACAAATAGCAGAATGCAATTTAATTAATGGGCTAGTATACTAGCTTCATGTGCATATAGTCATAAGATCAATTCCCAATCAAGTCAGAATATTTTATTGCATGCAGTTCTAAATGAGTTACAGAATGTTCTTCTTATTACTATTATTTGTTTCCTTCTTGAGAACTTATTTTAGTGCAGACTTTGCCTATGTTACAAGTGTTGGATATAATGTCAAAGATTCATAGAGTTACCATGATGTTAATATATCTCATACAGAATTTGTGGGTATGTTTATGGTCTACTGTATTATTTCTGTCCAAATTTCACAGAGCCACAAAGTTCATTAGTCACTTTTTTATCAAACCAAACGCAATATTCAGATTTCATGTTTTTACCATATTATAAATCAGTTGCATATATTTTAAGATGTTACAATCCATAATTTCAGGACCCATATATTAGGTGGGATTAGTGTTACTCACACCTCACAAGTTCAAGTGTCTGCCCTGTCATTGCTGACTTTTGGAAAATAGAAAGTAAGAGGTGGATATGGCCAATGTTGACACAACGTTCACATAAAATTTAATCATAATCCATCCAGTGGTTCATGAGTTTAAGTATATGGACAAACAGATGAATAGACATCATCAACCATATGTGTATTCATGTTATTCACATCTTGCAAAGAATGCATAATAACCAAGTTTTCTACTGTTGTACAAGCAAATCTTTATTTAGCAACAAATATGAATAAATCCATTAATTTCCCTTAAAATTACTACATAGCACACATCTGCTGATTTATGCAATGATATCTAAAACCACTAATTAATAAGAGAGCCACTTGAACAAGTGGAACAAACATGATCAATAGAGAGTGTCACCATTACGATGTAACCGCTCCATGTACAAAGCAAACAATAACTTGTTACTTTCATAGTAATATGGGTTGTCTGATGCACTGAGGGCTGGATTATATTGAGATAAGATATGGTTTGTCACCCAACCACTGGGGTGCAAACCTGGGCTGCTGCCACTAGCTTCTGCAGACTGCTGAGGTCGGTGAGAAATTTCACTGTTATCACTGCAAGTAGACTGTACTGCAACATGACAGCCATTTCCATTCCTGTAACTCTGATGGCAGAGTAATTCTAGGCATTCTCCTGCTGCATCCATGCATCCCCAGTTATCAGAGCTTGGTTCAAAAATGTCATCCTGAAAACAAAACTAAGAATTACTATGCCAAAGTTTTGTATTTTTCAAATATCTGTTACCATACATCATTGTATGACCCCAACTGTGTAAGTGGTGCTAATATAGAGCCCACCTCACAAGTTCATTCATCTGTCATATTGGTATTACTGATTGTGGGAAATGACTGTACACCCCAGCAGTAAAATGTACACACCAAAATTTATTCAGAACCATCCAGCAGTTCTTAAGTTGAAATATACAGACATGGATGGACAGACAGACATGGTCAACCCTATGTGTGTTCATTTTTTACACACTGTGCAAAGAATGCATAATAATGAAAAATGAATGTTACATCATCTGTATAGTGACTGGCTATGGACTGGACAACCAAGGTTTGATTTGCAACGGGGGCAGAGGATTTTTCCTCTAGCCTCCGCATCCAGACTGGCTCTGGGGCCTACCTAGCCTCTTATCCAACAGGTACCGAGTACCAGGGTCTTTTCCTGGGGGTAAAGCATGGCTGGGGCATGACACTAACCACTCACCCCTATTTATTGGCAAGGTTAAGAAAGAGTAGGAGCTATACCTCCTCTTCCCCCAAGTACCTACATGATGTATAGTGGGACAGCTTTACTTTTTTATATTACAGCATACGTTAACACTACAGAACAGAAACTAAGGAAAAGCATTATGATTTTTTTAATCAGCAAGTGCAGTGTGAAAGGAAAATATTAATATATTGTAACAACAACAAAAAACAGAAGAAATTTAAGTTTTACTCTGACACTTCACAGCAGTATTGACACTGAGAAAGCTAGCATAAACATAATTATGATAACACAAAATTTGGAAATAATACTTCTATGGAACAGTGAAATCAAAGACTGTACTGGGTCAATTTCAAGCACTCATGTAGGTCTACATCCAAAATATCAAGCAGAACATACAAAAACAAAAATTAACTAGAGATATGCATTGATCAATGTTTCCTAATTATGGATAATATATACATATGTAACAATGAATAGGGTACAATATGCAGTGTGTGGGGTCAGTGATTGAATCATCCTTTATATTTTAGGATATATCTTCTGCACTATTCACTGTAAAGTTTATATAAGCAGTCCTCTTTAGGATGTGTAAACCCTTAGGTTGGTACATTTTGTGATGTAAGCAATGTACCAACAACTGTGTTACTATGTGTGTCAGATCATAGTTTGCTTTTGTTCATCACTATTCACCATTCCATCACTTGCGTAAAACTGAAGACGCGTCCGCCTTGTTCTACCTTCATATCATAAACTACTGTACATCTGTAGATGACAGCACAACTTCCTTTGGTGGGGAAGTAAAGCCGGCGGTCCCATGTTGTAGATTTACAGCAAGTAAAAGAACCTTATGAGCATGATACGAGATGTTTCATCAGCAAAAATTTAGCGACCATTTCTCACCCAAGTCTCCTGTTTCACTGCTAGATACTTCTGGCAGTCGAATCAGGATTGAGTACAAAGTTAGTGGTAATACACCTGCCACTTCTATAGCATATATACCTGTTTTGTGACTGAATGTTTAAGATGTTGATAACCAAGACTGCTGCAGCAATTTCCATTATTGATATGTAAATTATTGATTCTCTTAGAAAGTGGCATGAAATCGCAGCATTCTTCTTCGCAGTTACTGCTGCGAACTCGTTTCCTGAAATACATAAGAAGTAATACTTCGTAAAAGTTTGAAAATTAAATCTACTCTACTCTAGGTAATTGAAAGGTTTACAGTTGGGTAAACTAAATTGATCGACTTCATTCATGTGCAACCCGACGTTTCATATTTCAGAATATTTATTCTGAAACAGTTAATTTCGTATGAACTAAGTTCACAAATTAGCAGCCGCTGTGAATAAATAATAATATTATAGGTGTTTTAAATGTCCATGATCATGCCTATTTTCGTACAGTCATATAGTGGCACCATACAGATTGGTTATATGACCTTACCTGCTCCCTAATAATGCTTGAGTCATATTACCGTATTTCAAAATAAACTATGTGTGCAAAAACCACCTTATAATCATTTTTCACTTCAAATTTATTTTTGTGCACGTTTTTCGTAAGTCGGAGCGATACCGGCACTTGTTTTAGACCTGTCTTAACAGCTACCGCTTCTCGTGTACATATTCTGTACTAAAAGTATTCATTCCGTAGTTACGACTCAGTCAGCACAAAACAAAAGCGTTTATGCCAAGTTGCAAAATTTTTATTGCTTGTTTTGAATGACATAACAATAATCACAAGTAGCCATCATTAGATTTTGTACTGTTTGAAATTCGGTCTTTAAGGGGCCACGTTACCGAACAGAGATTAATACAACTCAACACTCATGACCCCAACAACTACATGTACAATAATAACAGTCCTTACAAAAGCCAAATATGAGATATGAATGAGGTTCTCGCAGGAAAATAACGATGATAACCTTCTGGGTTGCAGTGCCATGGAGGTGGATATCGACTTTTCAGAGTAAGATACTGTCTGAACCCTGAAGGTTGGGGGGGGGGGGGGGGGC